GCACGATAGTCTTTCGTAAAAAGCCGTAATTATGTCTGTCAATTTTTGTGGTACCCTGCAGTTTCTAAGCAGCTTCCACAGAGTCTGTCTGTCGATACTATCAAAAGCCTTGTCATAGTCAATGAAGTTAATGTATAGTGGTGAGTTTAACTCCAGAGCTTGTTCCACTGTAACTCTCAGTGTAGTATTCTGGTCTGTGCCGATCTGTTTTTTCTGTTGATGCTCTTGCCCTTTCGGTTCTGGTGCGGGTATTGTTTAGATTTGCCTTCTTCGTTTACCTTTTTTGGATTTTCCCCATGGTTTCAGCAGAAATCCATTCTTTATGAGTTTGTTGCCTAGGGCCCAACACTTCTTCACAGGTAGTCGTGAATATCTCTTTGATTTCTTTCCAATTGTGTTCATTTGTTCCCGTAGGATCTGGAACTTGTTGGAGATGGTAAGTTTAAACTCATTTAGTTTGGACTCGTCTTTCAAGAGGTTGGTGTTACAATGTTGGCGCTTGCTTCCCTCGCTTGTCAAGTTCTTTTTCAGTTTAAGCCTTAATTTGGCAATAAGTAGATGATGGTCTGTGGCTACATCTGCATCCCTTTTTACCCTAACATCTTGGAGCGATCGTCTAAATTTATTGCAGATACATAAATAGTCAATTTGGTTAGCCGTTGACATATCTGGAAAAATCCATGTGGCCTTGTGGATATGTCTATGCATGAAGAGGCTTCCTCCGATGACTAGTCCAATTGTAGCACATAGATCTGCTAGTCTTTCAACCATTTTCATTCATCTCTCCCATACCATGTGTTCCCATGCATTCTTCATAGCCTTTATTGTTGCTGCCTATTTTCGCATTTAGGTCGCCCATGAGTATAGCCATATTGCTCTTAGGACACCTTTGGACCAGGGTTCGCAGTCTGTTGTAGAAATCCTCTTTGTCCTCTTCTTTACTACTAGAATAAATGACCCGATATTATCGGGATAATAATGATAGGTCCTCTGCGTAAATTTCTAAGTGATATTGCAAAAAAATTATTACAATTCATAAATTTAAACATATAATGATATTTACATTTCTAGCATCATTAAGTTTTCAGAAGTATTTATCTGCTATATAATATAAGCCTAACCTACTCCCTTTCACGCTCATAAAAACAACATTTTTCCCTTCTAAACATGACCTTAAATTACACAGTCTAAATTATTACTAATTATATCAATTTTTTCACTAAAGAAGTTAATTGAGGGAGAATTACTACGTTAGAGAAATACTTTATATTTACCCCTTTTCGTGCCCTTGAATTACAACTTTTTTTTCTCTAAAAATTGTTTAAAAAACTTGCCTTAAATTTACACCAAAAACTCTATATATGATATAAAAATATTTTATGTTGTAGGAATTAGAAATACATTGATATCTTCAGCAAAAATTTAAACACACTTTTTGCCTTTTTAATTTTTTTTTTTTTATATTATCAGAAAATCGTAAAACAAAGAATTCTTTTATCTAAAGAAGAATCGCGCAACCTTTTTTCACGTCTATAACAGATTTGAGTCTTTTAAAAAAATTTTTAAAATTTAAATGTTTAATCTCATAAAATACAAATCTCTTTACTTTTTGCAAAGTAGAACAAAAACATATTTTAATTTTTTGAAAGTAAATATTAACCCTTCCCCTTTTTTTTAAATTACTTTTTTTCAGGTGTGTAAAATGATTGGGTTTTGATATTCATGGTTATAAATGTACCCAAAATTTGTTAACGCCATTGATCTTCTTTATTGGTAAACATAAGTATATTTGTAAAAAGAGAGAGTAACATCTCTTTTTCACATATGTAATACCATAGGAGTTAACTATGTTGTCATCCACGTGAAAATGTATACATCCTATTTCCCACCTCCGACATGTATTTACCCCAGAAAATTAATTATTTATTAAAAGTATTCCTTTATTTTGAGACTATATTGTGCTGCCTTGGGCAAAATGAACATACCCATATTTGAAAAAGAGAATGTAACATCTCATTCTCACAAATGTAATACCATAAGAATTAATTAAATTATCATCCATTTAAAAATGTACACATCTTATTTCCTACCTGCGACATGTATTTACCCAAGAAAATTAATTATTTATCAAATTCATTCCTTATTTTGAGAGGTATCTTGTGTTGTATTGGGCAAATTGAACTTATAAATATTTGTAAAGAGAGAATGCAACATCTCTTTTTCACAAATGTAATATCATAGGATTTAAATATATTTTCATCCACATGAAAATGTACACATCCTATTACCTACCTCTGATATGAATGTGCCCAAGAAGGTTAATTATTTATCAAATTCACTCCTTTATTTTGAGACGTATCTTGTGCTGCCTTGAGCAAAATGAACATATACATATCAATAAATATTTGTAAAAAGAGAATGTGGCATCTCTTTTTTCACAAATGTAATAACATAGGAGTTAACTATACTGTCATGCACGTGAAAATATTCACATCCCACACCTACCTCCGATATGTATGTACCCATGTATGTTAATTATTAATCAAATTCATTCCTTTATTTTAAAACGTGTCTTGTGCAGCCTTTAGCAAAATAAACATATTCAAATTTGTAAAAAGAGCAAGTGGCATACCTTTTTTTTCACAAACGTAACACCATAGGATTTAAATATATTGTCATCTCCGTAAAAATGTACACATCCTATTTCCTACCTCTGATATGTATATACCAAAGAGGGTTAATTATTTATCCAATTCATTCCTCTATTTGAGACGTATCTTGTGCTGCTTGGGGCAAAGTGAACAACCCCTCCCCACCTAGATTTAAATAAATTTAGAAAATCTTTCACCGGATTGTAGTCCTTTCCATACCCAAACTAACATATTTTGCACTTCATATGGTTCGTTCTTATTTGTATGAGTTATAAGTGGATTAGTGATTGGCTTAAACTGCATTTTCTCATTAGAATTATATTTAAAGGTTAGAGTTTATTACGTTATAATTTTAATAAAAGTATATTTTTGGAATAAAAAAGGCCAAACTTTTTAAATGTTAAAATATTCAAAGCTAAAATGTTTGTGTGCTTTATTGACAATTCAAAAAGCAAACAATTGTATTTATTAAGTTTACTTTTAAAAATGAAATTACATTATCCGTTTTGTCAAGCACGGTTGTTAAATTTAAAGAAACCTAAGACTTTTGGCAAAAAAGGCAATTCACGCTATGACGTCATTTGCGTGATTATTGAGCACACATTAATTTGAATTTTATTTCGCAATATTAACAACGCACTAAAAGACGCAGTAAAAACTACTGATGTCTGGGATTTCCCAATAAATGTGATTATGGTGTAATTCTTTAAGCATGATTTTTTTTTTTTATAACCTTCAAACACATATAAAATGCTTAAAATAGTTCCTTAGTTGATGCTTTAAATGTATTTGTAATTTATAATAATAATATTTAAACTTTTACTAAAATAAAAGCAGATTTAAAATATTTTTGTGCACATTTAAATTTATTCGACTTCCGCAAAATAATAGAAAATAACTATGATTGTTTTTCGGTATCCGAACGTATTTAAAAAGTTCTCCCTTTTGGCGTTATGTGAACCTAGCTCATTCTTATATATATCGTTGGTAGGAGCATATACCTGTTGGATGTCCATATTGACTTTCCGTATTTTTGTCTTAAATCTTGCCGTGATTATACGTGGACCATGAGCTTCCCATCCTATAAGTGCGTTCTGGGCAGTTCTGGAAAGCATGAGTGCCACTCCTTTGTTGTGTGCTGCTTTTTCATCTTCATGGCCTGGGAATAGCAGCAGTTCCCCTGTGCTGCGCTTTATCTGACCTGAGACTCACTTATTTCTAAGATGGAGATGGCTGGTTTGGTCTCTCGGCATTTCAGAAGCAACTTCGACAGTTTTCCAGCTTCGAACATGGTCCTTACGTTCCATGTTCCTAGACTGGTGGTGGTCCCAGTGGAGAGGATGGTTGTCCACCAGATAGTTTCCAGTTTTCTTTTACCACCCAGCTTCATTAATTCTCTTTTAGGAGATCCATTCTTTCCAAGGTCCGAGTTTCCTTTTGAAATCTTTGTTCGGGTTTTTGTAGCAATGCTTTTTTACAGGGGAGGTTAGCTAGCCCTTTGCCCAACCCTCCTCCCTTCTCACCCAGGCTTGCGACCGGCTACTGCGGAGTTATCCTGTGTATTGTCAACAAGGAAAACTAAGTCATGAGCCATTTGGGATCACTTGGTACAGGAATAATCACCCCATCTTTCTTCATGAAAGCTTTAAATGCTAAAACGTGTTCAAATAGAAGGCGGGAGCAGGACATATTTATGAATTATTGATGCGAAGGAAGATGTTATTGTGGGCAGAATGAATTTTTATTTTATTTTTTTTGTCGTAGAAAAGGTCAAAATTAATTTTTGATATACCCTATTTTGAAAGTGACCAAGCTGACAGGCTCGGAATTTCCCTTACTCGTACACACAAGCGGGAATTTTTATACAGATTTTAAAAAAAAAAAACTGTATCAGTTTGCTAATAATTACTCAATTATGGTTGTACATTATCCTCTGACTGACTTTTTGAATTTTTCTCAAAACCGCAATTTGGCGCCCATGTTTGTCTCATAAAATGCTATAAAATAAAAACTTTTAATTTGATTTTAAAATAGTTTTTTACCATTATAATCAACGTTAAAATCAATACAAACATAATAAAAATCATAATTAGATTAGTCGGTGAGACTAAAGCCGTCACGAAGAGTGACATTATAGATAACAGAATGGAGAAAACGCACGAGCCGCATTAACACTAAACTTTGCCATCGATGAAGCGGGCCGGAAAATATCATCTTTTGGGCCGCAAATGGCCCGCGGGCCACGAGTTTGAGACCCCTGATTTAAAAGTTTGTTTGAAATTTCGAAAATCCATGCAATTGAGAAAGGACTCTTTTTTGGCATTCATTTAGAAGGACACATTCATTAAAGAAGGACACACTTAATAAAGACGGACACATTCAATTAAGAAGGTTCAATAAAGAAGGACACATTTAATAAAGAAGGACACGTTCAATAAAAGTGGACACATTTAATTTATTGAAACATTCATTTCTATTCCTGAAATGAAACGCTCACATCTGAAGATCATCAAATGTTTTGGGAAATATTTCCTCTTCAGTCTGCCATCAGCAGCGCTCATGTATATATGGATGTTATTGATATTTGCAAACTTTGATGCCGTCCCACAGACAGACACAGTAGCATCACGTGACGGCTCAAAGCAGCTCAAAGAACAAATTGTTCCTTGGACCCATGTAGCAAGCAAGAAAAGCACCAGTGTTCCTATTAATTATTCTAATGGAGAGAACCAGCACAGGCTACAAGTTATTAGTAAGTGCATTTTTCTTCCTTAGTGAAGTAGATAGCGCACATTCCACAAATGTAGATCACATTCAATAAAATGTGGTGTCAAACTTTCAACGCAAGGGAATCTAGTTGTTTCTCTGAGCTCTGATTAGTTCATGAAGTTGAAACAAAATAAAACGTAAACATGTGAGTTCAGCATTAGGTTCGTGAAGATTATTGGGAGTACGACTCGTCTGTAACAAATCCAGGATTAAGACATGTTGGGCTCTATGGATTTTTAAATGTATTAATAATTGTAGACCCATTGTGTTGTGTGTAAATATAAGCTTTAAAGAAGGGGATCACATGTCTGCGCCAGAGATTAATGTTAGCATTAGAATACAATTAAAATATTGAACAACCTTTTGGTTACTAATAGTTGCATTTATTTATTTAGGAGACTTCAACGACGTCACTTTTCCAGCATTTGTGGACAGTGATGACCCTAACGGGCCAGGTAATATGAAATATTTCATACGTCACTCTAACGTGCCAGGTAACATAACATAAACATATAGGTCATCATAAAAGACCAGGTAAATACATCACAAATGCTTACGTCATCTTCCCGGGTGAGAGGAAAAATATCATACAAGTCTAGAAGTGGCGTAGCAAGGTATAGCGCCACCTGGGCGGAACAAGCTTTTGGCAACCCCAATCATAAGAATTTGGCCTAAAGAGACACCCTTCTCATAAAGGTGACGAGCCCCCTCCACACCCCTTCCTACGCCGTCACTGTATCATCAAGATTTCTTCGAAACTAAAGGAACATTTAAAGGTCCAAAACTTGGGGTATAATTAAGAGATCAAAAGTAGAGTAAGAAAATGTTGAAAAAAAAAACAAAAAAAAAACTGAACGCAAAGTTATTTCAACATCAATAAATCACCCTCAATAAATCACCCTCAATAAATCACCCTCAATAAATCACCCTCAATAAATCACCCTCAATAAATCACCCTCAATAAATCACCCTCAATAAATCACCCTCAATAAATCACCCTCAATAAATCACCCTCAATAAATCACCCTCAATAAATCACCCTCAATAAATCACCCTCAATAAATCACCCTCAATAAATCACCCTCAATAAATCACCTTCAATAAATCACCCTCAATAAATCACCCTCAATAAATCACCCTCAATAAATCACCCTCAATAAATCACCCTCAATAAATCACCCTCAATAAATCACCCTCAATAAATCACCCTCAATAAATCACCCTCAATAAATCAAGCCCAATAAATCATCATCAATAAATCACGTTCAATAAATGATTATCAAAAAATAACGTCCATTAATTTCTGTTCAATAAATCTTCATCACTAAATCACGTTCAATAAATCCTGTTCAATAAATCACGTTCAATCAATCACGTTTAAAAAATCCCGTTCCATAAGAACCAAATACAAAGTCAATCTATAACGCTCACACCATCGACCAATGTGACGGACGGATGCCAGCAAAATTTATGCGTATAACAAGAAATTAAATTGATTGTAAATGTATGGATGTTGCTGGGCTTACGAGAACTTAAACTCGTAATGTTAATACGGTCGTAAGTAATGCATAATAAAGACAGAATAAAGGAACTACTAAACAATTTTGTCTGACACATGCGGGGAATAACACAACATAAAAACGCCTTGCACACTCTTCTTTTGTATCATTGTGTCTTGAACATAACGTTAATGTTGATCACTTGACGTTGTATGTCGTCTCTGTATGATTGGTTGGTGGTTTCAATCAGTTGTTAGTTGTATGTTGTCTCTGTATGATTGGTTGGTGGTTTCAATCAGTTGTTAGTTGTTTTTCGTATTGTTGTTTGTAAGACTTGTTCAAGGCAAGAACGTTATTGAAAAGACAAACAAATCAGGTCAGTATTCCATTGGATCAAATTCTCATTAAATAACGTTTGAAAATGTTTTAAAAAAAATAAAGGTATATAAAGTTCGATCATTTGTTACTTTACACAAATTTAGTTAAATAATATGGAAATTTGAATATTCCGTTGGTTCTAACAATTGATGATTTAATTTCCAGGGGCAAATGGCGTGGCCGTGACCATAGAAGAAAAAGATCTTTCTGAAAGTGACAGACAGGCTTACAAGAGAGGGTGGCAACAGCACAACTTCAACGAATATGTTAGTAACATGATATCAGTGCACAGGAGATTGCCAGCTTGTTCACATGAACTGTGAGTTCTGTCTCTGTCTCTATGTGAGCCGTGAGTCTTGTGTCTGTCTCTATATGATTTGTGAGTCATGTGTCTGTATCTATATAAACCGTGAGTCCTGTCTTTGTCTCTGTATGAGCCGTAAGTTCTGTGTCTGTCTTAATATGAACCGTGAGTCGGGTGCCTGTCTCTTTATCAGTGCTTTCCATCCGGTTCATGTTGGTGACACAATGTTTAGACACACATCTTTTCACAACACAATAATTCGATTTTACCAGCATACTAACACATTTGAATTCAAGACATACTGGCAGATACATTAAGTTTAATAAAGCAATGTATGATATCACAACATATCTCATCTCATAAAAACCTTTCATTTATATTGATACGTGCCATGATGGTTTTGAAGATTTAATCTATATTAATAGTTGGCTTGTATAGGAAAAAAATTTCACAAAAGACTGAAAAAACAGTATGCAAAGAAAACGATACCAAATCTAGTGATACTTAAGACATTTAATTTAATTTTATATTTAAAAAAATTAAATACACATTTGAGATCAGTAGCAAAAATTGCTATCTTTCTCTCTCTCTATCTGTCTCGATCTATCCATCTAAGTCGTGCTATGTCTATCGGCTAAGAAAAGTGGCGGGTTTTACATAGAAATTAAATCTGAACGTTCTAGTAAAGTAAATCTAGAAATTGCGTCACCTAACATTCTTGAGAACAAATCGAACTCATGCGGACGTAAACACAATTTTCTGAAGCCAAGAAAGGGGCGGGCAGGGAAGGAGTGACCCAGCACAGTTAGATGGTGACGTAAATATCAAGCTCATCCAATTAGACATGTTGTGGTTGGTAAAAAGAGCTGTATTTTAAAGTTTAAAATTAACCCTCGACATACCCTATACTAGGCTATATATAACATATATGTTTGATGTAATGGGGAAAAGTCAATAAAGATCTCATGTTCACCGTTTTCGCACACTATTTTTTCCAATTCCAACCACTCTTATAACATCTAATCCTTATTGAGGAAATAAAATGTTCATCATTCATGTGATTGAAATGGATTCCACATCCTGTCGTAGTCTTGGATTTCAGCATTAAAGAAATGTTTTATTTGAACATTTTCTTGGATCATATGTTGCACATATTTGATATACCGCTTTTATTTTTACTTTCATTATTTTAATGCTTGTGTTTATTTTATCTGAGTTTTCAAATGTTTCATAAGAACTAGCATTTTTAAAAAAATTAGTCCACATAATTCATTTAAAATATTTTCTTTAAAAAGCGTAAGTGTAGTTTTTCTCAATTCATAGGCACGTGTATCAGAGCTACGACATTTGGACCTGTAGTATCACCTTTTCAGATGCTGACACCATTTCTTCGCAAATCTTTGTGAAATTATTTTTATTATTATCTTGGCTTATTTTCGCGCGACACACCTACACGCTGCAGGCTAAACACTACTGTGTCGCTACACACTTACACGCCGAAGGCAAAACAATACTATTTGCGACACACAGCTTGGAAAGCATTGCTCTAAACTGCACATGATCTGTCAATATCATGCCTATCTTGTGCAAACGTGATTTGTTTAATATCGTGTCTATCTTTGTACTAACGTGATCTGTCAATATCGTGTCTATCTTTGTACTAACGTGATCTGTCAATATCGTGTCTATCTTTGTACGTACGTGATCTGTCAATATCGTTCTATTTCTATGCTACGCTTTCAGTGAATTCATGTTAAGTTGATTAGGTCGTAACATCTTTTCCTCCAGATGTAAGAAAGCCGTCAAGTCGTTCAACGGCTCACTGGATCCACTAAGTGTCATCATCATATTCCACAACGAGGCTTGGTCCACACTTTTAAGATCTGTTCACAGTGTCTTATTAACACAAAAAGTTTGACAAAATATATTTCATAACTTATGTGTCAACAATGATCAAAGGCCATTTTTATAACCTTGATTGCCCCCCCCCCCCAACTCACTTCTTTATTTCAAAGCTTTTTTGGGAGCTCCACTGGACAAATACTTCAGTCCATTCCCCAAAGTAAAAATAGTTCGATCTCAGAAGAAGATGGGTTTGATCAAAGCAAGACTCTTGGGGTTTGAGGCGTCCACCGCCCCAGTGGCTGTGTTTTTGGATGCTCACATTGAGTGTTTCCCAGGTATTTGAGACATAACATTCATGCTGAGCACTTGGTTGTCACGAACATATGTCATAAGTTATAGAGTCGGAATAAATCCCCTGCTCAGAATGCTTTTTTGCTTTTCAATAAATCACATTTTCTCCATCTTTTATTTCTCATCATTCCAACCTACAATGACGTCTTCAGATTGGGCTGACTCGTTGTTACTGCAGATCAAATTGAACCCTAAGGCCGTTGTATTTCCACTCATTGATAGCATCAACGACAAGACTTTCGGTGTCGGCTGCAACAACAATCCTATACACTACGGAACTTTTCATTTCAAAAATCTGTTTTTTGATTGGATAGAGATTCCAAAACGTGAGTTCGACAGGAGGAAGGACATTACAATACCTTTCAGGTGAGCCAACAATACTATTGAGGTAAGCCAACCTTACTATTCCAGATATGACGCTTCAATAAAATAACATTTACGGACAAATGTTAGAATCTTCACAATTTTTTGGACCAAACTTTTTTTAATGACTAATTTGTATATATATGTTTTTTAAATTAAGAAGCTGAAAAAAAAATATCCGTTTGCCTAAATTCCTATGACCCTGTCAAATATCAAACACATATCTTTTAACGACAATGGCTTTAGACCGTGAGACATAAGTCTTTTTTAAAGTGTTACCTTAGTTTTTGACTTTCTTGCCATTTTTCTACACGTTATGAGTAGAAAAGTTTAAAACTATTTTTAAAAAAAATGTGTTTTACAATGTCTCATTTCTCAAGAACATCCTAAAGTTCTTACGGACATTAACGGACAAGTCAATTTTTGGTTATATTTTAAGGAATGTTTTAAATGGGTTGGCCACCATGGTGAAAGTAAAAAGAAAATTTTTCGGTGCTCGCTCGATTACGTTTATGAGACACGAACAAATTGTGTCAATATAAAATTGTATGTTAAGCTTTAATAATTTTACATAATACACTAGTAAACTTTTCAGCACATGCCTTCGTCAGTATAACAACAAAATATTCAAATAAGTATCAATTAAATGTACATAATATGCATTTACTATCTAGAAAAGGAGAAAAAAATAGCAGTGGGCTCAAAAAACGAGAAAGAAAAAAGTATAGAAGAATGGAAAGGAAGTGACTTGGAGTAAAATGAAAAAAAAAAAAGCCCAAACAGGAAAAAGACATGGCAGTTTCGTAAAATTGTGGGTTTGGTTTATCCCGTATGGAGTCAACGTACCAAATCTTGTTATCAATTTATTCTCCATATAGATTCTATCCGGTGTGTTATTGTATACAGTGTACGTGTAACTGCGATGTCTAACATTCCATCATGGCTAGTGCTAGTGAAATGTTTGGAGACCGGACAGAGAGCCTGTTTATTTACGTCATTGAAGTGTTCTCTAAACCGGTCTCCAAGGCGATGACCTGTCTGTCCTACGTATAATTTACCGCACTATTTACAAAGTTTTTAAAAATTTAAATTGTTTTTTTTATAAACTGCAAACGTTTTGTTTATAACTAAAATTGTCATCACTTTATATTCTTTTTATATGTTTATTATTTTATGTGTTCATTCTTTTTATGTTCATTCTGTTTGGACAGGGCTCCAGGTTATCTTATTGAGACGACGACGCTAAAAAATAGTCATTAATTAAAGTTTTAAAATCATAACGGAATAGGAATTCCTGAACAGTATCTCCCAATCCTCCCACTACGCCAACAGCTATTTCTCACGGTCTGTCTATAAAGAGATATTTGCAAGCTTATATGAAACAGTTCCGCCTTTCTGGTCCCAACAATTTTTTCAGATGAAAGTGATAAGGTGAATAATGCTAGCTTTGATGGAGTGATTAACAGGCTAGTGTGTTAGAAGTCCAGGATAGCTCAGTTTTAACTGTAAAGAATAATTTTTAAAATGCCGTTACCTCAAATTCTACGTTTTCCTATTATGTCTTTTCTGCTTCAGTGCTTATTTTACGAAGTTTCTGTATGATTTGGTTAAGAATTACACCATGCAGGTACGGGGGTGGGGGTTGGTGGGTTCTGAGGGGGGTGGCCCCACGACTTGACCACGGCGGAGGACACCAACTCCAGTGACGCATCTGCTCAGCCCACCGCCAAAAGCAAGATTTACTACCTCAAGATAACTGTTGGCATGCCCAAATTCTTAAGTAACAATATACACCCCTTACACAGCACAAGTAGGATTTTTATATTTAAACAATATTTGGTTACTTATATGTTGGACTAGCCGTACTGTGTAAGGTAAAACGTATTGACTATAATCTACTTACATTTTTGTTTTTGAAAACTATAGGTAAATCTTAATTATATTAAAATTAGTTTCTCAAGCTTGAAAGGGTCGCAATAGTTCTTCCCGTGGTCGTCATAATGTCCTCGGTACGCCTCTGCTTGGCAGTTATCTATGCCACTTAAAATAGGAAACCATTGTGTTAAGCCTAAAACTTATTTTTTTATTACCAAATTATTTCAAACTTTCAGATCACCTGTAATGCCCGGGGGTCTCTTTGCCATATCTAGAAAATTCTTCATAGAACTTGGCACCTATGATCCAGAGATGGACTTTTGGGGTGGAGAAAATATTGAGCTCTCATTTAAGGTACATACAATTTACATCATATCTTTTGCATAGATGCATCCTACATTATGTATCTTTATAAATTGAAAAAAATCATCATTCCATGTAATAGATGTACAGTTATTTGAATCTTACCACTTATCCACTATGACCTAATTTAACCAGACCTGGATGTGTGGTGGCGCTTTATTGATGGACGTTTGCTCGCATGTGGGCCACGTCTTTCGCTCTAGCGTTCCCACTAAGGGGGCCCCCAATGCTGTCATCAAAAACTCAATGAGAGTGGCCGAAGTGTGGATGGACAACTACAAAAATTACTTCTATGAGGCAACAAATTACCAAACTGTAAGTGATGTTGTCATGGCACGTTAACCAATTCTACTACACACGTTAACCAATTCCACTACACACGTTAACCAATTCTACTACACACGTTAACCAATTCTACAACACACGTTAACCAATTCTACAACACACGTTAACCAATTCTACTACACACGTTAACCAATTCTACTACACACGTTAACCAATTCTACAACACACGTTAACCAATTCTACAACACACGTTAACCAATTCTACTACACACGTTAACCAATTCTACTACACAAGTTAACCAATTCTACAACACACGTTAACCAATTCTACAACACACGTTAACCAATTCTACAACACACATTAACCAATTCTACAACACACGTTAACCAATTCTACTACACACGTTAACCAATTCTACAACACACGTTAACCAATTCTACTACACACGTTAACCAATTCTACTACACAAGTTAACCAATTCTACTTCACACGTTAACCAATTCTACTACAACAATTTTAAGATTTGACGATGTAAATCGAAAAAGGTTTAAAAGAATTCAATCATGTTGGATTGTAAAAAGGGCGGGGTGTCAGTTACTGGCGGCGCATTTCCCACGATATGAATCGGCGCCATTTTCGGTCAAATAAAAAAGGATTTTTTGTTTATTCGGGGTGGCATAAAACGTGTCCCTCCCCGAGCTGAACTAAATCTTGCCACGTCACTGTTTCTGTTATTTTATTGAAATCTTCAGATTAACTTTCGAATTTGACAGGTAGACTACGGTAATGTGACAGATCGTAAAATTCTGCGAGACGGCTTGAAATGTCACAGCTTTGAGTGGTTTCTGAGAAATGTCTTTCCTGAACTTGTCATACCTCACGGTATAGATTATGTAGGCGAGGTAGGTCGTTGTTACACAAGTATATATATATATATATATATTGACGTTTGTAATCCTAGCAATATAAAATTATCAATTAAAGCTGCTTTAGGTAGCCTAATTTAGAAGACGGTCAGACCAAAAATCATGAGTTGAGTGGTGGCATAATCTGCTCGCTGCTACCTCACACAAGTGGTTTAGAGATTAGTTTAACTACAAACCCTCAGTCAATAATACTTTCTTGTCAGATATTTTCTGGAATGAAAAATATTTTTTGTCACACTGATTTTTTTAAAAGATTATATTATAACACAAGGAGAAATGCTATTGTATTTCCAGTTCATTAAATTTATTTTCCCGGGGAACCATTCAACCAAATTTCCCGTTTATCGAGTTTTTCTTCCACATGAGTTTAGAAATGTAGCAGCCCAAAAATGTTTGGATAGTGGATTCAAGTCAGAGTCCAAACCCGTTATGCATGGATGTCACGAACAAGGACATGATCAGCTGTGGTATTTTAACATCAATCACGAAGTCTATCTAGAAAACATGTTTATCTGTGTCCAAAAAATGGTTCTACAGCCCTTGAATTGTGGCCACTGCCATTCTAGCGTGAATCCACTCCATCACTTATCTTTTCCCACTTCAGATCAGGAGTGCGGCGGCCCCAAAATGTTTGGATAGTGGTTCCAGTACTGAGCCTGGACTCATTATGTATGGCTGTCATGGACAAGGCAATAATCAGCTGTGGTATTTTAACAACAATCATCAAATCTTTCGGGAAAACATTTTTCTCTGTGTCAAAAATGGCTCTACAGTCCTTGAGTTGAATAAATGCTCCTCTCAGGGAAACTGGAGGTATCAAGAGGTAAGTCAATGAATTGCACCGAGAGCTTTATCAATGAATTAGACCTTCAGGGGAACTCGTATTACCGAGCGGTAGGTAAAACAAATACACCTACAAGGGAACTCGTAGTACCGAGAGGTAGGTAAAACAAATACACCTACAGGGGAACTCGTAATACCGAGAGGTAGGTAAAACAAAAACAGGGGAAATCGTGATATCTAATTTAGGCCCTATCCATCACACATTGATCTCAGTTGGGCCCTATCCATCACACATTGATCTCAGTTAGGCCCTATCCATCACACATTGATCTCAGTTAGGCCCTATCCATCACACATTGATCTCAGTTAGGCCCTATCCATCACACATTGATCTCAGTTAGGCCCTATCCATCACACATTGATCTCAGTTGGGCCCTATCCATCACACATTAGCACAGTTTCAGTGAAAGTTGGGATAACAAAACTATTTATTTATTTTAGTCCTGTATTTATTTACAGCGGTATTTATTACAGAAACTCATCGTTTATTCAATTCATTTTTTGAAGCTCATTACAGACATTTTTACCCCTACGCTTTCGCCGAAGTAGATAACGTTTTTAAGCCTCGGACTACGGCACTACGACGAGAAAAAAACTAGCCAACAATTTTTTTTTGTTTGTTTTTTTTCAAAAAAAAAAAAAAAAAATAACCAAAAATTTTTTTTTTTTTTTTTTTTTTAAAAAAAAAAAAAAAAAAAAAAAAAAAAAAAAATTTGTGGTGTTTTCAGTCAAACAGTTACCACATTTTTTGTGTTAACACCGGGAGCAATGGAATAAGAGCACAATTGATTGACATGTGCGGTTTTGATCTCAATGAGTCAACCAGAACATATTTTTATTTTAGTTTAGAGGCTGTGTTATTTGTACTTACCAGCCGGGTCCACTTATTGTAGCCTTAATGTTGCTCATCGATTTGATTGGGCATCATGCTAGGGGTTTCCCCTTGATTGCGCATGCGCTTTCCAAGTTTCAGAGGCATTCGTAATTATTTTTTTAAAAGGAAATACATTTCGTAACGTAATATCTTGGACTTTATTCTCTTCATTTCACCTATCAAGATATTTAAGGGTAAGTGAAGTGTAAAACCATTTTGATTAAAATCAACAATTATATTAATGTGGGTTTTTCTAGCTTTTAAATGTTAGATAGACATTGTAAATAGAATAAATTAAGACTATGACTATGACAGCTATGCGTCCCATCACTAAAAAAAATGAATGGTCAGTCCATTCTATAATCTATTAAATCTTGGACTGTGGACTTAAAAAAAGACTAACTTTTCTCTAAGCTTAGCCTACTTCTTTTTCGGCTTTGCGGTAAGCCTAATGATATTTAAAAAAAAAAATACTATTGCGAATAATAGTTATAATAGAAGCTTACGGTATTAGTCGTAGTTCTAACCTATGCCTATTGCCTATGCCATGATTATAACTATCAAAGTAGAGATACGTGACCGGAGTACTTTGTTAACTTAGATTTAGTATATATACTTTTTAAAGTCTTCAATTTAACATCTAGTCTTTAAAAATTAGTAAAGGCCTAAGTTATTATATTTTATTTCTTAATTCACAAATTAATAATATTGACACATTAGCACTAAAAGGCCACCATTTACATTTCAATTTTCATCGTTCCAAATGTTCTTGACACCAATTCTCCAGCACTTCGTCGGCTCAGGCTTACGTCACTTAGGCCTGTTATTGTATCTCTAATGTCTACCAGATTGATACTGGTATAAATGGTATAAAGGTCTATATAACATTTATGAATCTTTTGGAACCTAATATGATAATAATGTATTAATTCATTTTTGTTTCTATATTCAGGGTTTAGGGTTAATAAAATAATGGATAACAATAGCACAATTAAACACTGATGGTTAGGAGAGCAGCCAAGGTTTAAATATTGGTAATGGTTAGGGAAACAATCAAGGTTTAAATATTGATAATGGTTAGGGGAACAATCAATGTTTAAATATTGATAATGGTTAGGGGAACAATCAATGTTTAGATACTGATGATGGTTAGTGGAGCAACCAATGTTTAAATACTGATGATGGTCAGGTGAGACAGTCTCATGGACCACAAGGAGGCGAAAATGTTTAAGAAGAAAAGACGATCATGTCCACTTCTAAAACTTCTCAGTCAAGCTCTCAATTTATGTGTCCAGATTTGAAACCTTGATTACAAAGGGAGTCTATTCTAACTTTTCATTTTCCTTACATGAAAAAAGACCCTGAGGAATGATTCCACAAATGAAATGATATTTTATACTTGTGTTGGGTAGAATCTCGAATAAATTTTTCACATTGCTTAACTTTTTTAGGATTTTAAAATTCAAAGCAAAAAATCATTAACACTTTCATGTTAAAATGATGAAAAATTTGCGCTATTGCTAGGAAATTTAATAAATATATACATGTGTACAACTTTATTGGTTGATTGTGTTTCAATATTGTTTTTAAACATTTTACAAATACATACTTGTTTTTATTGTAACCAAAACATGAATTTTAGCTCAGATATTCCTATCAGTCAAGCAAGTCTAGGCAGTCAAACTATTTTGTGCTTGCCTAAGACCTTTTCTCATCCTTAAGAAACCAATCAGAGGACTTTATCCGGTGTATTTATTTGTGATAACTTATATAATCAGTTGAGTGGATTTCCTGACACAACTTGTATATTGTTTGCCAACCTTCCACCCTCTCTCCCCCCACGGCTAATTCACCAAACTACTCTCTGGAGCTTGAAACTAGGTTTTTGAAGCTGGAAACTATTCTGTCACTCACCCAGGGTTAAACAGGTCTGAAACTACAGCGTGTGCACAATGAAAGTCTTGACATGTGATACACAAATATAGAAGCAGGGATATTTCGTTACGCGCTGTTTAATAGAGCGAAAAAAAGTCTCTGTTACAAACCTATTCTTACTTAATAGGTTCGTTGGCTTCGTTGTCTAGGGGTTTTTAATTATATACACTTCACAACTATAATTCTTAGATAAAATATCTTTATTCATCAACTAATTCCTCAACTGCCTTTACTGTACTCAAAGAACAACACTCGACACCCAAATCTACAATAATAATACGCCATATCCCTTTCACACAATACGTCACAAGATACTAAGAATAACAGATAAAACAACGCATATAATCTCAAACCAACACGCAATCACACTATATACTCAAGTCCCTAACAGTCTCCGTAGGTGCAAAGAGCAATGTATTTATTTATATTCTACTGGAATAAATGACCCAATGTTATCGGTGTAATAAAAGTAGGTCCTTTGGGATAATTTCTAACTGCCATTGCAAAAACTTATCCCAATTCACGACTTTTAAAATGTAATGATATTCACGTTTCTAACATCATTAAGTTTTGAGAAGTGTTTATCTGCTCTATATGATACACGTACCCTACACCCTTTCACGCTCCTAAACTCTTTTTCCCTCTCATAACATGACCTTAAATTACCCAGTCTAAATTATCACCAATTATATCACTTTTGTCACTAAAGAAGTTAATTGAAGGACAATTAATTACGCTAGAGAGATACTTTAGATTTACCCTTTTTCGTGCCCTTGAATTACAACTTTTTGCTCTCAAAATTAAAAAAAACCTATTCTTAAATTTACAACAAAAAATCTATTTATGATATAAATATATTTTGTATTATAGGAATTCAATGTATATTGTTGTCTTCATAAAAAATTTCACGCCTAAATCAGATTTGACTGTCTTAAAAAAATTAAATTGTTAATCTCATAAAAATACACAACTCTTTACTTTTCGCAAAGTAACAACAATAATATATTTTCATTTAAACGAAAAAGAGAAAATATTAACCCATCTTCATTTGTCAAAATGTAATTTTCAAGTGTGTAAAATGATTGGGTTTGGATATTCATAAATGTACTTATATAAATATACCCTAGATTTGTTAACGCCATTGATCTTCTTAATTGGTAAACATATGTTTATTTGTAAAAAGAGAATTTAAAATTTTTTCACAAATGTGATACCATAGGATTTAAATATATTGTCATCCACGTAAAAATTTACACATCCTTTTTCCTATCTCCGATATGTATGCAACCAAAAAGGTTAATTATTAATACAATTAATTTCTTTATTTTGGGACGTATCTTGTATTGCCTTGGGCTAAAAGAACAGACCAATATTTGTAAAAAGAGCATTTTTCCCCCCAAATGTAACCATAGGAGTTAACTCCGTTGTCATCCACGTAAGAATCTACACATCTTATTTCCTACTTCTGACATGTCTTTACCCACGGAAATTAATTATTTATCAAATTCATCCCTTTATTTTGAGACTTATCTTGTGCAGCCTTGAGAAAAATGAACATACACATATTTGTTAAAATAGAATGCAAAATCTTTTCCCCCAAATGTAATACCATAGGATTTAAATATAGCGTCATCCACGTAAAAATGTACACATCCTATTTCCTACCTCCGATATGAATGTACCCAAGAAGGTTAATTATTTATCAAATTCACTCCTTTATTTTGAGACTTATCGTGTGCTGCCTGGGGTAAAGTGACCAACCCCTCCCCCACCCAGATTTAAATAAATTTAGAAAATATTCCACCGGATTGTAGTCCCTTCCATATTTGTATGAGGTATAAGCTGATTAGTGAATGCTATTTGGCTATGGAGCTGCGCTACACTGATTGACTTAAACCGCAATTTCTTATTAGAATTATATTTAAAGGTTAGTTTTTTTTTACGTTGTAAATTTAATGAAAGCAATTTTTTGGAATAAAAAAAGGCAAAACTTTTTCAATGTGTCTTTTATTAACAGGCGAAATAGGCTATTCGCACTATGACGTCATTTGTGTGATTATTTAGAACAAACTATTATTAATTTTATTTCTCAATATTAACAACGCACTAAGAGACGCATTAAAAACGCTTTATGCTTGAGTTTTCCCTATAAATGTTAATACGGTGTAATTCTTTGATCATGATTTTTTTTCATAATCTTAAAACACATTTAAAATGCTTTAAATAGTTCCTTAGTTGATACATTAAATGTATTTGTAATTTATAATAATAATACTTAAACGTTTACTAAGACAAAAGCGGATTTAGAATATTTTTTGCGCATTTAAATTGATTCGATTTCCGTAAAATAATAGAAAATAACCACGATTGTTTTCAGGAATCCGAACGTACTTAAATCGTATCACCCCTTTGGCGTTATGTCACTCTAGCTCATTCTTATATATATAAGGGCAAAGAAACTATTCTAATTTCTAAATGCGATTCTTAAAACAGAATGAATTTTGATATTTTACCACAGACAGCAAAAGGTACGCCACAGTAGGGGTGGGTGTATTTTATACGTATAGCAATATCTCAAGGCTCAAACATATTACACCGGAAATTGGTATGCAAATACATTTAAAACGAAGCAAATAATGTATTAAATCTTCTTCAGAAAACACATTTCATGCGGATGGAAAGGGATGTGTACATTGTTACTTGGATAACTAGCGCACATATTCTGTTGAGGGTTAGGGATTACTCTAGTATGACCCCGGCTAGTACAATGGCTACCAGCTCCATCTGTTGAGTTGTGCCATATAAGGTTGTCTTCCCGTAGGGCTCTCCCGCCACCCTGGCCTCCCCTGATACATTTAGTCACTGGCATTCGGTCAACAGTTGCGCTAGACCAGGCTACAATGCCGGCAGGTAGGGTCCCTGTTATGGTCTAGCCTATTGAAATATGTGGCGATTGGGACAGTACTCGGTATGCATCTGTGTCGCTAGACTCTGCTATCTGCGACCTAACCCCCACCATGGTTCTTGTCTGCTGAGAGACGGCATGTTAGTGAAGGTGCCTCTGGCAGTCATGCTGTCTGTCCACTGCCTGATCATGCTGTCTGCCAACTGCATGGTCGTGCTGTCTGACCACTGCCTGATCGTGCTGTCTGCCCACTGCATGGTCGTGCTGTCTGCCCACTGCCTGATCATGCTGCCTGCCCACTTTCTTGTCATGCTGTCTGCCCACTTCCTGGTAGTGCTGCCTGCACACTTACTGGTCGTCCTGTCTGCTCAACGCCTGGTCATGCTGTCTGCCCACTGCCTGGTTGTGCTGTTTGCCCACTGCCTGTGAAATTTTGTGAGAAAATGGTGTACTTGGATAGCTATATTTTTCAATAAATGAAATTACAACCATGACAAGAGGTTTTAGATTTTTAAAAAAAATATATGTTTTTAACAATGTCGGAAAAGACAGACTGACGACGTTGACACGCTATGGACACATTTCCATAAGTAGACACAAAGCGCAAAACTCAATGAAGTTGGAAAGGGGAATAAAAAGGGGTGGTCACATATTTATGACCATAGCAATATAATTATATTGAGAAATTTATTGTAAACATTTGGTGAAAATACATTTCAATTGAGAGAGAACAAGCTTGGGAAAGTGTTTATGTTGATAACAATATCTGAAACCCACGATCTGATTTTACGTCAAATTTCTTTTTGAACGCACTACATTATATAGTAAAACAAAATAATGCGTGTGGACTGAAAAAAGAATTCGACCAAATATCCATTCGATCAAATTTCCGTCGATCAATTTTTGCGTCACCGATGTTTCATTCAAATAAATTTCCGGATACGATCACAGAGTTAACTTTTGGGAGATGGTCGCATTACTCGCAATGTAATTCAAAATGTGTACTTTCCGTGGGAGTGTTCAATTAGCTATAAACATGATTATCCGAACCGGCCATGGTACCAATTAGTTCGGAAAATCTACGCCTTTTTTAGAATGTATCTCTTCTCATTCTGCACATATTTTATCAGTTACCATTTTATTCACATACTTCAGTCACCTGATTTTTATATCTTTTTTTCTCAGGACAAAAGTTTGGTCTACTTACCAACAAATGAATGTCTCACTGCCGGTGTCACAGATAGCAAAGTGTCTTTAACTCCATGTCACCCAGGCAACAAATGGCAACAATGGCATGTGCAGCGAAGACGGAGTGATCTCAACTTTCCTAAATAGACTGTGACGCCATCTTAACTCATCAAAGCTATTTTATAAGTCACAATAAATTCTTGTCAACAAAGAGTTTGAGCCTGTTTCCGAGATTAAAGCTTGTGTAGTAGTTGCTAGTGTATTGAAGAACCTGTCGCATTTGATATAGTTTTTAATTCTGATTTTCATGTCCTGTGTGTGTCATCTAGTGTATGTAATCCAGTGTATGTCATCCAGTGTAGGTCCTCCAATGTTAATACTCCAGTGTGGGTCCTCCAGTATGTGTCCTCCAGTATGTGTCCTCCAGTATGTGTCCTCCAGTATGTCTCCTCCAGTATGTGTCCTCCAGTATGTGTCCTCCAGTGCATGTCCTCCAATGTTTGTCCTCAAGTGTATGTTCTCCAGTGTATGTCCTCCAGTGTATGCCCTCCAGTGTATGTCCTCCAGTGTGTGTCCTCCAGTGTATGTTTTCCAATGTTTGTCCTCAAGTGTATGTCCTCAAGTGTATGTCCTCCAGTGTATGCCCTCCAGTGTATGTCCTCCAGTGTATGTCCTCCAGTGCATGTCCTCCAATGTTTATCCTCAAGTGTATGTCCTCAAGTGTATGTCCTCCAGTGTATGCCCTCCAGTGTATGTCCTCTGTTTTGGACCCGGTTCTATTCCCAATCTATACCAGGCCACTGCTCCTCTTGCTCGAGAGGCATGCTGTGGAGAACCAATCATTCGCAGATCACACGCAGCTATACATGCATACCCATCCCTCTCTTGTTGATTCTGCTGTCCGGACTTTGGGGGAGAGCATTGGTGATGTCAAGACATGGATGACACTCAGCAAGTTGAAGCTTAACGATGACAAAATGGAAGCACTCCTTAATCACAAATCATCATCCAGCTGAGCTCGCCCCACTTCATTTCAAGGAGGTCACTCCGACATACAGTTTACATTCTCCGCCAGGAATGTTTGTTATATTCTGTCTAACAACATGTCTCTCGATAAACATATCTCCCACACTTGTCGCTGTGCATACACCGCTATCCGTCAGATCAGCTCCAGCCGCCACTACCTTGCAGTTGGTGCAACAAAACACTTAGTCTGTGATCTTCATCTCTCTCGTCTTGACTATTGTAACTCTCTTCTATCAGGTTCACCAAAACACTTCATTGAAAAATTTCAATAGGTTCAAAACTCAGCTGCAAGGCTAATTCTAAAGGCAAAGAAAAAAAAAACCGTGATCATGTCACACCATTACTTCATTCACTTCATTGGTTCCCTGTACAAGCACGGTATAAAAATGAGTAGAACAAAGAAGGGATAAACCTGAAAAAAAAGAACGTTTGTCGGTCAGATGGGGGAATCAGGATAGTAGTGTTAAAAGAGATGTGTTTTAAGTGCAGTTTTGAAGCCTGTTGTTGTTGTAGCAAACGCAAGTATGTTATAATGAAGTTTCCATTATTTATCCTGATTTGAAGATCTGTTACATCCTCATTACTCGATCTTATCCCATTAAAATTGGTTGAAATCGCAAAAAAAAAAAAATAAATAAAAAATTAAAATGTTTAATTTCAAATAAAATCGGACAACCTTCTGCACAAAGTAGGTGGGTATTATTAAATTTAAATAAACCAATATTTGAAAGGAGATTATGAAACGAATATTTACCAAGTTTGGCCGCGATAAAACAATATACCTAGAAGATTGAATTGCATCCTAAAATCCACGTATAGATTTGGCTATTATATTATACATTTCAGAACATCCTATACTCGTTTAGAGCCTTCTAGAAACGTATATATTTTTATTTCAAATCTTATTTTATAAAAATTGAAGTTAGTCAAAGACACTTATAGAAAAATAAGAAATGCGAAAAGAAAATGTATATAAACAACATAGAACTTGTTGGAATATTATACTTTTTTTAGAAAGCTAACTTTGCACCCCGCCCCTTTTTTCGTCACCAAATCGGAATTCGCTGTAACAAAATCTCTCACCAAATCACCCTTACAAGACATCTCACCAACTCACTGTAACTAAACTCTCACCAACTCACCCTAACAAAACCTCTCTCCAACTCACGTTAACAAAACCTCTCACCAACTCACTATAACTTAACCTCTCACCAACTCACTATAACTTAACCTCTCACCAACTCACTGTAACAAAACCTCTCACCAACTCACCCTAACAAAACCTCTCACCAACTCACTTTAACAAAACCTCTCACCAACTCACCCTAACAAAACCTCTCACCAACTCACCCTAACAAAACCTCTCACCAACTCACCCTAACAAAACCTCTCACCAACTCACCCTAACAAAACCTCTCACCAACTCA